TGAACCGGGTACATAATAAATCTGATTTGATTAATTTGGAATTTATTTTATAGGTACCTACATTTTTTTGAAATAATAGCAATATTATTAATACATATAGTATACAACTATAAAATATCCTAGACTGACAAACCGTTTCCGCTCAGAATCGCTTTTCGTATACAATTATATGATATTATTGAATTCAAATTTAGAACCATCGTCCATTATACAGTAACCCTGCRCTTGTAAACTATACTGTATACAGTAGGCTGTATAGCGACACCCACTTACCTCGTTACCCGCTTTTTTTATTTTATGCTATTCTGAAAATGTAAATAAGTGGTTCACGAATTTTATATAGCTAATGGTGCAAGCAGCAGCTGCAAATGCTACAAATAACAGGAATAAAAAAATAAAAACAGGTTAGTGGATGTCGCTCTGCTGTACAGTAGGTTAGAAGTAGATTATTGTAATGGACAATGGATGGCATTCAATTTGAATTTAATAATAATATAGTATCATTGTATACGAAAAACGATTTTGAGTGGAGACGGTTTGTTAGTCTAATATATTTTAATTATTTAATTAAATAATTTATAAATTTTGTCAAAATTTGAATTTGAATTAGTTATAAAAAAACACTCCAATGTATTTTAATATTTTCAAACTGCTATTATATCAACTACAGGGAASCTTGTATTAAGTTTCGAAGCTTTTTTTACCTAATGAATACATTTTTATTGACATATATAGTAAAATACAAAAAATATTAAAAAATTTTAAATCTCAAATGCCTATAAATAACTTTATAACAGTTGAAACATTTTTAAAATTTTATCGAGTATAGGATTTGATAAAATAAACACATGTTGTACATTTCAAGTTATTATAGTTATTTGTTTTCGAATAACAACAAAATAAGAATATCGGTACGACGGTACAAGAGAAATCGAGGAATATCCAATGTTGTAAAAATWTGAATTCAAACGCTCATAAAAATTTAATTTGATTTTCTAGTAGACATTTTTTACTTAATAAAAGTTAAAAACTTATGAAGGATCTTGTATTGAATTATTAAATCTTAGATTAAAAAAGATACATCTTTATGGATTCCGAAATTCGGACATTTACYAATTGATTTCTGTAAAACCAAGGAAACACAATATTATTTGGTCAAATTATTTTTGTGGCTTCGGCTTTTACAAATTAAACTTGGTAAATCTTAGGATAAATAATCAGTGTTAGTAAAAGTCCGAAATCTCTTATCAATATTTGTTATTGTTGAAATATATTAGATGCTACATTAATTACTATAATATATTATTAAATACACATATTTATATTATTGCTACTTATTTACTATCACAACAAATTTATATTATTATTAAGTACATATTACTGCGGTTTTAGTATATTATTTTACTATTATTATTATATTATTTTACTTATTACTGCAAAAATTGAAAGTATGCAGCAAATTACATTTTACAGCGATCGACTTAAACTATGGTTACCATAATTTTCAAATCTAGTTTTTAAAAGTACAAACTTAATTAGTTTGACCAAATAAATTTGTGTTTTCCAGAATTTACCAAAATCAGTTGGTAAATGCCCGAAATTTAAACATTTCCCAACAGTAATCGGTGAAACCTAGAATTCTTTGGTAAACTCTAGGTTTAACCGGTATTCTTGCTTTTGCGTAACACATAGGCGTGTCTACGGTGTCAGCATATATAGGGTGCATGGGCTGCCCCTGCAATGTATGAAAGGCGCCTGTCAACCGAGTTTTCAATCTGATGGTTCACTACTTATATTTAGAAAAAAATGTCATGCATTATTTATTTTGTTATAGTAATTTTATATTCCATTGTCGAATTGATGTSTCCATCTCTTTATGATTTTTATCGCGATCGCGATAGTAATTATATGTGGGTAACGGTATTCGGACAATTGACACCCGACTGTTTTTTCGATATCGGACTTGTTGCATCCGATATATTTATAACACGGATAATTGACACCAAGCAAAACACACACAATTTTTATAAGAGGTCAACTCACTCTAAATTTTAAACTAATGGAGTTAAACGTGATCTGCTGAGTGTAAAATTTGTTATGTTACGCACTTGTAAGACGGAGACAACACATGTGGGTGTAGCGTCCCCTTAAGGCTGCTCATATAGTGTAGATAGTATCATAAAGTAATAATAACCTAGGTTCGAATATTTTTGGTGGATGGTACCTTCTGAAAATAAATTTAACAATAGTACTTTTTTAGAGCTCGGTGCCAATGAAAGGAGCCCATCTATGTTTGCTCCAAATATGTGGAACGTGCACAATGCAACAAAATTAGGATAATATAGCAGGACTAATAATATATCAGAAGGTTGGAATAATAAGTTCCAATATTTAATTAAATTTAAACATCTATACATTTATTGAAGCTTTGTAGATGATGAACTTCACAACCTTAATGGAGATTTTAAAACTAAACACTGGTACCTATTCAAATATATTATAAAATTAAATCAAATGAAGAAAGACTCAAACATATATGTAGAACTTCTCAATAAAAAACAAATACTGAAATTATTAGGTTTTTAAATAAAACGTATCATATGTAATCAAACATTAAATATGATATATTTTATTTATATATAATTATATTTATATTAATTAATACTTACAAAATCTTTTAATTTTATTAGAATAAACTTTTGAATTTTATCATACTATATAAGATTATATTATGCTGATTATTCAGTATTTATACATTTTATATTCGGTGTCAATTGTCCAATTATTGGGTGTCAAATGTCTCAGGTTTCTCAAGTAAAGAAAGAAAAATGTTCCAACAAAAAGGAGACTTTCTTTGAATTTTGATATACGCAGTTTTTTTTTTGTCCTATTCTGTTTACAAAACAAAAATTGTTAACCAAAATTATAATTTTGACGGTACCAAGTAATAAAAAAGGAATGATGTTATTATAGTATAAAATATGCTGATTTTTTTCTAATAATTAGCATATTACTTAGTGATATAGGCCCGGATTAAGATAATTTTGGGTTCTGAGCCAAATGATTTTGAGAATTCATAGTCATAATCTAAATACTAGTGACTAACCAACAAATGAATATATTTCAGAGATAAAAAATTATATTTAGTTACTTTTTAAATATTTTTTAAATAAAAACAGTAATTTTTACAAATAATTTTTTCTTGATTTTTTGGAAGCAAACATTCAATTATTTCATTGATATTTATCATATCTAAGCACTTTCAAAACATAAATCCATTAAATTTGTTAAATTTTGTCCGTGAATTGCTTGTTTTTTTACAATACATTATAGGTATTATAGAAAACTTACCAGAGGCCCACAAGTTTTCGATAATCGTGGTAGGCCCAGGTCTATACTCTCTCCTGCTACCTGCGGGCCTAAGCCGCCGGCCCATCTTCGCCCAGAGTTGTTTTTCGTATGTAATAATTTGACCATTGTGAATTCAAATTCACACATAATATAAATGTAATATTACATGTTTTTTTTTTTTTTATTAGCTCTTAGTATAAAACTATAATAGCTCGACAATTATATGGAATATTATATGTTATTCGTGTCATTTTCTAGTTTCTACAGTGGTTATCTACTTTGTTTTTTTTTTCATTTTAGCATTTTAAAAATTTTACTATTTACTTTTGATTAGGGCTCGGAAATGATTATACTGAAGTCTTAATAACATATGTTTTTCATAAACTAAAAATTTTTTAATGGGTTTTATTGAATATATATTATTTATTTGTATAAATTATTAACTGTATCGATATTTTCAGTAATTAGAATAAGTGACCAAGTATAATATGTTTTATTGTTTAAATACTGTATGAACTATGAATCACAGAATAATAACGGCACCTATGAATATAATGTCAAAATATATAATAATATGTATAATAGTAGGTATAATGTATTAATGTATATTATAATATAATATATATGCGCACTCCTATCATATCCTATCTAATCATATTAAATTTTCGATATCTAATCTGCATAATTTGGCTTTATATTTGTAAACAACTGCAGATGAAATTCTTTAGAAATCAATAATATCGGCTATTTGAAACTGGTTTATAATATATATATATATATTATGTATGGACGTGAAATAGCCAATTTATATTTTATGCTCACAATAATATTGCGTAAATTTAGATCATAAATTTAATTGAGAGATTATGATTTATCAATTTTTTCTTATAAAAAAACTTTGTGCGTTTATAAAAAATTAATGGTTATGAATTTATGAATAACATATTAAAAAAGCTTCAAGATAACCATAAACATTTATAAATTTAGTTAAATGTTACATTATATTGTACTTGTCAGTAGGCGAAGTTCTATGTTTGCGTATGTATTCCGATAAAAAAAGTAGGTACATAGTTTTTMGTTAAATAATGAAAATCACAGAATTTATTATTTTTTGACTTGTTCATTTGAATATTAGTAGGCAATWCTTCTTAATAATAAAAAAACAATTAAATCAATCACAGAAATTTTTTCATTGTATTATTTCATGTCAATTATTTAGTATCCATAGGTATCCATAATAATAGATATTTGCAGCATAGTTCACAGAATATTCATGCATGCAAACCAAATAACATACACTATACTTAAGACGATCCAATGTAATAACAATACATAAGTGCACACATACACACACAAATATGTAAATGCGTCTTAATATCTAAGATTTAAATTATTAATAATTATAATAGTAATATAATATAATTCGTTTGAAACAGCATTGGCTGACGCGGCTAGTACAATATATATATATATATATATATATATATATTATATATTACACACACACACTGACTCACATATACGCACACACATGACCGCCGCCGTTATGTGCTTAGAATCCGCCCGTGACGTGTTACGGCGCTAGTGTAGACCAATGCCAGCCTGTTGCACCGTCCGTGTGCATGGCCACTGCAGTTGCATTAAGTTACCCGTTCTAGTCTCACCGGACACCGCCGCTGCTCGCGAGACGATGCGGACACGCCGCTCTCTTCTATTAATATGATACAATCATCATTGCTTATATTCATAATATAAACGAAAAAAAAATTGTTTTTACTACTTTTTCATTTTGTTCTTACTCGTTCGATTTAAATCTCGCGCACACCATTGTAGATGAATATTATATGATATTATTATGTATATAATTACACAATACGCGTGATATACTAATATATATGTATATGAAAGTTTATCGTATATGTGTAGTATCTACAACATAATTCATGTGCGTACGTAGCATATTATAAATGCAATTTTTAAATTTGAACCGCCACCGACCGCAACTTTTACCGCCACACGCGTACCGATAATACACTGTCACTGCAGTCGGCGAGGTATACGTCATAATATTTTTGTAATATTATTTTGCAATTATCATCATTATTGTTGTTGTTGCGACGTCCGAGTGATTGTCATTAATTTATTATCATCAGTACTATTGCCGTTGCGCTCGGCACCGTGTACGTGGTGGTCCCGGAAAGGAGAGAGCGAGGAAGCCGCGTTGCTCGCGTACAGCCGGCGCCGGACGTACTGAGCGTCGTTCAAAGCGCGCGCGGTACGCCGGGCCGCAAGTGGGGACCGGCCGCACGGGAAATCACGTGGCTGGCTGCCGGCGAAACACGTTTGTGCACAAATATCGGGACGGTGGTGCGTGCACGAGTGCGTTCCGTGCGTGACCGTGTTTTCGCCAACGGTCCGGGCGACGGCGGCACACGATGGTGACGGTGCAGCAGTTGTGTCGCGCATGAACGCCACGGCTGCATCCGGCCTTAAGCGCACTCGTGCCACGAGCGACCGCGCTGACGCCGGCGGAAACACCGCGACCGACAGAAACGATATAGGACCGCGCCCGCGTTTAATATCAGCCCCGTACCCGGAAATGCCGGCCAGCAGACATCACCATCACCATCAACATCAGCAGCAGCACGCGCAGGTGCAGGTGACTTCCACGGCGGCGGCTGTGGCGCAGCAATCGGTCAAGGATAAGCAGCGGTTGTGCACCAACTGCAAGAATCACGGGTTGCGCAAGGTGTGGAAGAAGCACAAGCGATACTGCAAGTACCGGGACTGCCCGTGCCCCAAGTGCATGAAGACGGCGGCAACGCGCAAGAACTGCGCCGAGCAGACGGCCAAGCGACGGGCCCGGCAGGAAGACGAGCAGCGCGAACAGGAGCTCCAGCTGAACCCGGCCAACTTCCTGGACGAGCGGCCAATACCGTACCAGTCGGAAGCCACCACGCCACAGTCCTGCAACAGACAGAACATGAGCGAATCCTCGCAGGTCGGTCGGTCGTCCACCCCTAAGGGTACGATGTCATCGCGGACGTCCGATTACGAAGACCACGACAGCTCTTCCATAGACATCGGGGACGGATGTGACGGCGTTGTCGGCGACGGCGACAGTATGGTCGTGGACGACGGCGTAAATAAAAAAGACATCGACGCAGGTAAGCAACAGTTATGCGTACAATACATAATTTAAAAATATAGTGTTGGGCCAACCACTTAATGGTGGTCGTTACTCGTTTCGAAAATAACTTAAATTAGGTACGCGTGTTCTGATTCATAATATGATAATAATATTAATAACTATCATAATAATATATTGCTCGAGTGTGCCGTGCATGTACCTGTTATTCGGATATGAATTTATAAAATTATGTATTTGTTATTCATAGAATGTCCTCACCAAAGTGTAACTTTTTTCCTACCCTTAGTAAAAATATTTTTACATAAACGTTACCATTATTTTCTACGGTTCATAGATAAGTTAACTAATCTGCAATAATAATATTATGATAATATGAATTTGAATTATAAATCGTATAATAATCGCGGGAAATGAGTTGACTATTTATTGTTACGATATACGCGAAGGCTGTTTCCGTGGTCGTGATTGACCAAATAATTTTTGTCACCCACTCAACGAAAATTAACGACTTAAAAAAAGACAAAAATTTATTGTAATAATACCCAAATATGTATACACGTTAAATAGGGKAACTGTGTGACCGAGTGAAAAAGGTGGCGACGTTGTCAAGCACCTTCGCCGCTTCAAACTCGGTATCTCTCGACCGTTCCCTAGTACAAAAGGAATACTCTTCACTTGTAATAATAGTTAAATTTTAGGAGAAATGAGCTGTTGTGAAGTTTAACTGGTGGTTATAAAATAAAAGTACCTATGTGATATAAGTACAGATTGCTCATAAGATGTATATAAGTGTTTTGAATCACTTTTATCATAAGTTTCCAAGTAATAACTAACGAAGATCTTAAACTCATATAAGAGGACATTTTAGAAYTTTAAAATAATAATTAAAAATAAAACTGCAGAATATCAAAGTACGAAAATAAATCTTAAATAAAATAACATTTTGTCTTGTAGCCATATCTATAGGTATAACGTATATTATGTATAATGCATTCAAATGTATTTTAATATTTTATGAAAATTTAAAATTTAATAAAACCTATAACTCAGAATTTCCATTAAATATTTTTCTGATAGTCAAAAATTGTCTACTAATATTTCACTTGGGTGAATTGAGAAAAAGAATATCATTCTATTAAAATTCATCATCATTTAATTTCATGTGATTTTTTTTATATATATTTCATATTTGAAATATGTAAATAGTTAATTACATTTTATAATCGTCCAAATGCTTATTATAAATTATGTTAATTGTATAATTTTCGACGTAGTAGTCGTGAATCATTATTTTCTAATACACAGTAAACATTTGGGGCAATTATGCATAATATAATATTACAATATGGAATTTTAATAAATATCGTTGATAATGATATGTATTCTAACCGCAATAAATTTTACCCGTCACATTGCACAATGTCTATAACATCACCAATATATTGTACCAATAATGATGATATAGTTATATTGGCAAAAAATATTTAAATTAAAATCTRATTATGAAACATTAAAAATTTAAAGACAATATCTAATGGTTTTYTATTTTCTGTCACTAATTTTATTTTACTGTTAAGAGTTCATAAAAGTAATATATAGGTAATATATTATTATAGTTGTGCAACACTTAGATTATAGAATATCGGTTTCTATAATTTTTATTTAGTTAACGATTATAACATTATTTAATTCTATAAATATACTAGCTATATATTATAATATAATAATAATATGAATATGACGATGACGTGTACATGATGGCATTTAGTTTGCATTTTCTTTTAGCATTAATGAAAATAGGAAAAAATATATAGGTATACTATATGTACGATATCTATTTATAAACAAATMAACTGAAATGTATACTCAAAACAAGTTTACGGCAAAATTGAAATCTTTTTTATGTTAATAAAAATTAATATTGGTAGAGACTTGAATTTATAACTAAATATTCAAATACTCATATACTAGCAATTATTTTATCACCATATATTATGGTATGAAATAATTTTCAAAATAATTTAGTGGTTTTTTGCCAAGTTAATAAATGTTTTATGTTTTTAATTTTGTTCGATTTGTGTATGATACAATTTTAATTTTTAGATAAATCAACTTGAAAATTGAATACAAGGTTTCTCAAAAGTTATTCACATAACTATTAAAAATATTGAAAATATAATATGCTCACAATATTTTTTTCTTTAACGTTCTGAAGTTTAAATGCTTACTAAATTCATGAAAATCTCCAAAATTATATAATTTTATTGTATAATATAAAATTCATAATTTTTTTTTATATTTATAATTATAAAAGTTTTAAAATTTAATATAGTCTGAGGTTTCTTATTAGTTGAGCGCTATTCTACATTTTTTTAGTATGAACGACTGAAATGTAAATGTTAATAAAATTGGATGTTCACGCGTGAATTATGTATCTATATCTATTATAGTTGTTTTATTATAACTAAAAGAATCTTAATTTAAAGGCTTGTAATATTTTACTATGACCTAATTTATTATTTTATTAAAGAAATTATAACAAAAATTAACTTGTTTTATGTGCCACATAAGCATTTAAAAAAATATGCATATATTAGCTATTTTTTTTAATTGATGATAAAAGTATTTATRTTTGGTCAAAAACCTTGATGATGTTTAAAATGAAAAAAAGTGATTTTGCAAATTATGGAATATAGCATTCCTCTGTCGAGCGAGTGTCCGCAACTCCTAGTTTCTAAACTTATTTTGATATATTTGCGCAATAAATTATAATACTAGCTATATAATAAAATTTAAAAATAATTTATCATTCGTATCTGTCAACAAATAATTTACTTATGGTTTAAGAACGTATCATATATAAAAATGTATAAGCAGTTCTTACTGAAACCTAAAAATAAAAACAACATTTTTTTTAGACATTCAGTCTTTAGTTATTTTATTGTAATACAAAAATTTAAAGAAAAATCATACTAGGACTGGGACTGCACTGAGTATTTGAACCATTTACGTAAATAAATAATATTAAATAGGTTAGAGGTCAACTCACATGTTTGTAATTTTAGAAAAAYACACAATGGCATTTTAAAAATATTTAAATTAATTTTAAGCTATTGCCAGCTTATATATCACAAGGTTATATTCACACCGTTTTACGGTAAATCGGTAGATTTACTCAAAAGTTAATAGAAATGAT